CCCCCCCCCCCCCCCCCAAGTATTTTTTAGTACCTTCCATGAATGTTTTATCTTTGTTACTCAAGGTAGCAATTTTGAGCACAGGTATCTGCTGCCCGAGAAGAAGTGCCAGGAAGGCGTGGGTATCCTGGGTATATGTATACTGATCTTGCAACAATCTATGAGCGTGCTGGACGTATTGAAGGACGAAAAGGCTCCATCACACAAATTCCTATTCTAACCATGCCTAATGATGGTATTATTCATTATTCTCAGAATCTGTGCACAAAGCACTGTCTTACGTCCTTGTTTCCTAATGTATTCACACACTGAACACAATTTGTCTTGTCATGGTTGGCCAGACATAACACATCCCACTCCAGATCTTACGGGTTACATTACTGAAGGGCAGATATACATTGATAGGCAACTCCACAATAGACAGGTGAGGTTAAGCAACTAAGGTTGGAGTAACATAAATATTGTATAATTGTGTTAGGTACCTAGGGCTAACTATTAGTAGGGGTTGCTTGGCACATTTATTTTTGTATATCATTCTTTTTTAATGATATAGCAAAACAGGGTTGATGTAGCCAACCCTATATGGTTGGGATATGGCTTAGATGATGATGATTATTCTTTTTTAATGATAGCTTTCTTCATTTATGCAACCAAGGGTTCACAACAAACATGGGAACTTCAAGCACGGGACAACAATTTTTTTACCCAACCCATTCCGTTTTCTTAGGTTCACATTTGTATGACAGATGATCACTGCAAACATAATTAACCCAGGCTCAACCTAAAGTGCAATTCTACGGGTACCTCCCCCACCTTCTTATGGTTGATCTGGGTGTTTTGGACCCAACTTGATCCACTCTGCTGTCATGAACTGTGAGCTACCCATGTATCCAATAATCAGATAAAGAAGTGAAGGATTCTTAGCAATGGTATGGAACAATTTTGGAAATGGAGAGGGTTTTAACAAAGGTGAGTTTGGTTTTATTGGGCCAGAAATTCGTTTCTCATGTGTAGGGATGTCAATGGATTGGTTTTGGGTTGGATCCTGTCCAAATCAAAATCAATTTGGACAGATTGGACGGACCAATAAGACACATTGAGTTGTACCGGTCCAGACTTAATGGTCCAAAGTATTTATTGGATTGGATTGGACCTGGTCCATCTGTAATGTATTTATATTGGATTGGGTTGGATTGAACCAGTATCCAGTCCATTGATAGAAAGATAAGAACACAGGTGTCAATGGACCAGGTTTGGGTTGGAACCAATCTAAATTAAAACTAGTTTGAACAGATTGAACGGTCCACAGACATTGAATTGGACTGGTCCAAAATGGTCCAAAATATTCATCAGATTGGATTGGACCAAATCTGGTCCAATTGACACCCTTACTCGTGTGTGTGTGCATGTGTTTTTACTGGGGAAAAGGGAAAAGGGAGCATACCAATGAAGTGAGTTAATTGTGCAGTTGGCTTGGTGAAGTTGTAAATGGTTGTTCATATTAAACAAACCTACATAACTTAAATTCTCATCTTTGATACAGTTGAGATGGCTTAAATTTTGGTCCAGTTGGTTACTGGGTCTTTGTTTCCTGAAAGTGGTTTTTTTTGGTGTTCAGCCACATGGATCTGATAATTGTATGAATCAATTAGATCTAGAGTTGAATGTTATATAACTGATCCCTTGGTTTTCTGTTTTTCTTCAACAGATTTATCCTCCAATCAATGTTCTCCCTTCGCTTTCACGGTTAATGAAGGTATGCTGCATGGGCAAAAATCTTGTTTGGTTTTTACTCTCAATAATAGAACTATGTTTTTCTGAATTCCCGTTGTAATTTCCTCCTGCATAAAGGGAAAGAGAATGAAACTGTTCTGGGTTCTTAATGTATTATATTGTTGATCATTCTTTCAGAGTGCAATTGGTGAGGGGATGACTCGTCGAGACCATGCTGATGTGTCCAACCAGGTATTAGTCATTAACAATGTTGTAACTTCCCTCTGTATCACATCCAGGACGTGGAATTTGTGGTCCCATTAGGGTGGAATTGGCTAAATCCATCACAAAGTAAAACTATTCAGAGGAGATTCTGAAGAAACTTTTAGATTTCATTCCAAGTTTGTTCACGAGGGATATTGAAGAAAGGTGGATTTATTAATATTGTTGGTTATTGACTTGTTTATTTTGGCAGCTATATGCAAATTATGCTATTGGAAAGGATGTCCAGGCAATGAAGGCTGTAGTGGGAGAGGAAGCTCTTTCTTCTGAGGATCTGGTTCTCTCTCTCTCTCTCTCTCTCTCTCTCTGTGACACGCACACAACCACACCCAACAAATGAAATCCCCCAAAATTTTTGTACTGGGGAAATACTAACCGTAAGTTTTATCCTGCAAAAACAGCTTTATCTGGAGTTTCTAGACAAATTTGAGAGGAAGTTTGTTACTCAAGGAGCATATGACACCCGCAATATCTTCCAATCGCTTGATTTGGCTTGGACACTGCTTCGTATCTTCCCCCGTGAACTACTCCACCGAATACCAGCGAAGACCCTAGACCAATACTACAGTCGGGATGCAGCAAACTGATGAAAACAAACAAATCCTGTTACCTAGTTTCCCAAAGCAATTCATTTTTTTTTAGTACGAGCTATATGTTCCCCGGCTTTTTCTCTATCCTTGTTTTACTACATAGGCCGCATAGCTCGTTGGTGCCCAGTGAATAATAAATGGGTGGGTTCTTTCAAGCTCGATTGTCAAAGCTGTTCATCTAGGTTTCTAGCCATCCATATTCTTTCATTGAGAACTTTAGGCTTCTGTAATATCTACACCTTTTATTTATTTTTTTCTGGCTACCCGGATATATTGCGTGGAAACGGGTTTCACACAAAAAAGTTGAATCTTCCTTTAGTGCTACTTGCTGTATGTCATGTTTGTTTGATCTATTTTGGCATGTATTTTGGTCTTCAGCAATGTTCATTCTAGGGAATTACATAAATCTCTTTATGTATCTATGCTAGATCTTTTTTTTTTTTTTTGGTTTTTTAATTTATGCTAGATGTTGAAGATACTAGCAAAGCAAATTACACATGCCTCATGGTTGTCTTGGGGCCCCGGCTCGGGACTCGGGAGGGCTTTCATACTAGCTTTTAGCTTTCCCAGGTGGAGCCCACTTAGAAGGCAATATTCTGGTTTACATTTGCTTGGCATTTTACTTTACTCTGCTTTAGGTTTTATTTTACTCTATTTACACTGCAAATAAGTAAAGTAAAATTTGAAAACAAAAAATAAATCAGAATTTACATTTAATTCAATCGCACTCTCATACTTTGTACCAGTGCAAATGAAATTGCATTACAAACGAATTTGGCCTCAGTAAAAAAATTCATCACGTTTTCCTTAGACAGTAGGAGTTAGTTAATTCTGCTTAAACCTCTTCTTTAAATCTGCTGAATTAAATGCACTTTATGATAAAGCTAAGCCTCTTTTAAGGATCAGCTGAATGCAATAGCTGTTCAACCAATGATAATTCTCCAGCCCCCGACACCATTTAATTTCTCACTATGGGCCCTATGTATTATATCACTCGTGTGGGTCTTTTCGCACTGTTATGTGTCATTTGTTATATAACCAATCGTGAACATGGTCTGTACACATGGGGCCTACATGCTAGTGTCACTAGTGATTGGTTACTTAGCAAGTGATATATACAGCCGTGTGGCCATCTGACCCCAGGCTCTTACCTTGCAAGGGTTGTGATTCTGATCGGATGCCTTGTAAAGACGAAACATGTACATGGTAACGGGCCTTTTGATTAAAATATTAAATATATAAAAAGTTGTACCAAGGCTTAAAATTTCGGAAGATATTGCCATTTTGTTACATATGCGGAGTACAAATACAAATATTTACAGTAAAACTACATACAAAATAATACAAATAAGAATTTGTATTTGTACTCCTTCCAAACTGAGTGTAATGAAATATTGGGGAGTGAGGACATTGTTTCTAAGAATTAATCTGTGATTCCGGAAATGTATGACATCGATACTCTTATACACTATATAAATGCTTTTTTTATTATTTGAATATTCTATCCGAACAACTAGCGATCGAAATTCTCGATATTCGAACAAAAATTTGAAAGTTGGCTGAATAATAAATCCACCCGATATTTGCATATCCAATATGGAATGGACGACTACATCCGAAACAGAAAATTCAAGTTCGTTCGCGACATTTAAAACCATTGTCTCAAGGCTCAACTTCACCCATGAGCCATGGATTCAGGTCCGATCTGCTGCAACTTGCAAGCCATTCATTCAAGATCTAAAAGTTCTTTTTAGCCACATAGCGTTTTGAAGAGCTTCAAAGTAGGCATTTATCGCATGAATTCAACAGCGACAGAGCCCTCATCCTCTCAAGTGTCTCCAAGAGTTGCATCTACTGGTGAAATCCTCGTGATCGGATTAGTTAAAAGTGACTACTAACTAATAGATAAGTCCAAGAAAACTTCAAAAAGGTATAGTTGTGGCTGTTTTAAATTTTAATCTAGCAATGCTGTACGCCATTTGGTCTCAGCTAAGCTGACTTGAACTGCTCGGGCGGCCTCGGCAAAACCAGGGAGGGATCCCCAACTATTCACATCCAAAATTCAATGAATTGAGTCCATCTTCCACTTGAATCATGACCAGAGAATCAAAGGTACCTCGCTTAAAGATGAATCGAAAACCCCAGAGAGTCTAGCACCAAAGATGTTAAGAGCCCTCTCAATTGAAGAATAGGGCAACCTCCCAAGTTAGCTATTGTTAGTTTACTAGATTTAATCTGAAACTATTTTTTTTAATATAATAAAATTGCAATTTGCACACAAGAAAAAGGAAAAAGCTCAATTTATACATACTCGCTTTGAATTTACAATGATCATAGTGATGGTATGGTAACTCCGACATTAAACACAAGGATTAGTTACAAAGGGTGTAAGAGAGGGAGAGAAAACTGAAGAGCCGGTATTAGTCACGTAAAAATCAATAAAATAAACAAACAAACAACTCCTATTTCACCTTGTAATTCACACTAGGATGATTACAGATCCCTTCTGCATAATGGGCAAGAGCCATGTCTGATGAGCCATTTATCGATGCAAGGTAGATGAAACATGTGGTGACAGTGGGGCAAGCTTCGAACTGTCTCTCCAAGCTGGAAGTCCTGAAAACCAAAAAGAAAAAGATCCAAGCTTGAATTCTCCTTTATGGCAATCAATTTTTGTCTAGGACCAAAAAGTTGGGTTGATGACAAAGAAGAGATAAAGGATGAACCTGAAGGCACACAGAACAAGAGACCTTCTCCCCGGAGGCATCGACGTTGTTGTTGGTTGTAATTCTCATCTTTGGGATCTTCTCAACCGAATCTCCCGACATCCCTTTGGTCCCGCCCGTTTCGAATATGTTGGGCACCTCATCGTAGTTCGCTTCTCTAGCACCCATCTGATCAAACATGTCCAAACTGTAAGCAAATCGCCACATTCACATTCACCATGATTTATCTCCTTGGAGTTTTTCGATTTCAACTTTTATAATTGCAGTTGTTGTTTGTTTCAAGTACCTGACTCTGTACGGCACTAAGCATCACAGGACCAATCCGCTCCCGAACAAGTCTTCCACTAATTAGACTCACGATAACATCGATCTACACAACGAAAACCAAATCGATACATCGATTGAATACCTTCATCAATCCAGAAAACAAATGGGGGATCTGTTGGAAGCGAGAAAAATGAGTTATAGTTACGCACCAAGAAGAGGAGACATCGAATTCCTGTTTCGTCGTTATGCCAAAGATTAAGAGAAGACTCAAAGACGTCAATTGAGAAAACTGCTCCGGAGATGGCTCCAACTGCGGCTCCACGGAAAAACCCGCTCTCTGTTTCTTGGCCTATCAAAGCTCCTGTCATGGCTCCTAATGTACAACCCACTGCAAACATGCGAGGGAAAGGGGAGACTTATTCCATTGGTAGGTGGCAATTTCAAGAAACCCTTTTCTTTCTGGTAAATTACATGCTTAACATCCCTAATTTTTGTTGAATTAGACAAAGGTTGACAGCAATTCTGTTTTATATCAAGGATCAGAAACCCAAACCTCCTCTCTTCCATTCACCACAGATGCTCAGATGAGCTATATATTGCCTATTTTTTTTTGAAGGACCACTTTTATAGAGAAATTGGGGAAAAGCTTTCCTCGATTATTCCAAACTAATGGGGGAAAGAACCCGATAACATTTCTAGGCGTTTCAGAGAAAGAAGACACAAAAATCGTTGAAGGTTAAAGTTGAAAGGTTTTCAAAATTAAGATGAAAAATACAGGGATCAACCCAATCAATCTCCAAACTTTCAAATATCAACACAGGAAAACAGGAAAAGAAAGAAAATCCGAACCGAGTTCATGAACAATCGAATGAATTGAGGAAACCTTGCTTTTAGGTATTATTTCTCTGTCTTCTACCTAAGTAACCAAATTCAAGCAAATAAAACAAATAAAAGGAATCGAAGGTGGAAAAGAAACTAACCCAATGCGAAAAAGAAGGTGAAAATTGCAGAGACGAGGTTTCCAAGAACTGCAGACACCCCGGACCTACAAATGTCTCTTATCTTTTCAACCCAAATCCCGAAGGAAGAAGAAAAAGAAGGAAAAGGAGAAGCAGAGGGAGATGGGTAGGCGTAAATCTCCATCCTTCTTGTTTTCTTATTTTCCTTCTCTTCTGTGTGTCCGAACTCCGAAAATAAAGAAATTTAAGCTCTATAAAGGAGGAGGTGCGGTTGATCTCGATCGTAAGAAGATATTCACTAAAAAGCAAAGAAAGATGAATAGATGATGCTCCAGTCGTTAACAAAACACGATGCCATAGGAATGGGATCTGCTCCTCACACTTAGGCGCCTCACATGCACATCCATCGTGCATAGGGAACATCTCGCGTAATGTTCCCAATGCATGATGGGATGTGAGTGTGAGGCGCCCTATGTGAAGAATAGATCCGGACTTGATGCGATAAAGCCAACTAAGCAGTTATGGCCTTCGGTAATTGACCCCTCTTGTTTCTTTATTATGCCACTTCCCTCTCTATCTCTACTGAATTTTACTTTTATTAAGAATAATTTTTCTTTTGGTACAAAATTGTGGCCATTTCTTTTTTTATAATTTTAATTATTTTAAAAACTGATCAATAATATAATTTTAAAACTTTTTTTTGTGAAAAAAATATATATCCCAAAAATTTTAAGTTTTATTTACTAGTTCCAAGATTTTATTTTATTTTTTAAGTTTAATTCACAATATTTCGTTCATAAATGCTCTGAATATGATCTCAATAACTACAATGAGTTGTGTTTATCTATTTCTGTTGGTGATTTAATTCACCTTTGTTTGATTGGAGAAGTTGTTATGTTCTCTTTCACTCATTTATATATTTTGTTCTTTTAAAGAAATTGTATTTGGGTTCTGATTGGCCTTGATAGTAATTCTTTATACTTGTATCAATTTATTGAATGAATAAAATATGTTTTAAGCTTTCAAAAAAAAACTACAATGAACAAAACAAGCATAAAACAACACTTTAAAAATAAATTTAAACTTGCTGAACAAAAAAAGATAATTACGAACATTGGGCAAAAATAACTCGAAAGAATTCAGATCTGCTACTCACGATAGATTGCTGCTCATATTCATGCAGCCGCATCTTTTATACTTTATAATGTCAATATTTCATATGTACCAACGCCTAAGAGAATTAATTCACCAAGCATGACTCCCTCGTCTCACCAGCTGAGCCGGCCCTGCTAGAAGACAATAAATAGATTAAAGCTTTGTATAGCATAAAAACATACCCCCTCCCCTTGTCTATTGTCTGAATTAAAAATAAACAAATAAATAAATATAGAGTATAGGTAAGGTTCAAAAAATCGTTACATATTAGCCCCTTTTCAATATCGGATTAAGGACTATTTTAGAGGGTAGCCGGCACTTAAATCAACCCTTTTAAATTGATATTAAAAAAAAAAAATAAAACTTAAAACAAAGGCCGATACAGACTGATATGCCCTAGCAGCGTGTCACCCTGTAATGATACTTTGAACATTAGGTATAGGGATATCCTAAAATTAAAATTGGAAGAACAGTGATATGATCATTTAAATTTAAAATCCAAACACAAATAGATCACATGCTTGGTTGAAGGAGAGTGGTGGAGACAAAGAAAACTCAACATCCAAGTCAGTAAATATTATCCATTTTAAACCCCAACCCATACCCATCTCCCATCTCACCAAATCATACTTGCATGGCTGGTTATCAATAACCGGTCCCGTTGGAAGAGTCGCCATGAGATCGTGCAGAGTGCAGACGTGCAGTGCAACAGCAAGGTTAAGATCCAACCAACGTTCCCTACAATTAGGCATTGGGTCTCGGGTGGTGCATTCTTTACGGTACTCGACCACCGACGTTCGGCACTTGGGCCCAGACCCTTTAATTAAGGCTATAAGCCTCTCAGTCTAACAATTAATTCGCTCTCTTCTTAATTAAATTCTTAATCCTCGATTCCTTGTGCAGTAATAATGCAGACAGATATTGGTGCCCTACACCCCTAGCTACCCGCTGGCTTCACCGCTTTCCTGTGTTGACTGTTGAGTAAGCTTGCCTGCTGGTGCTGGGTCTGACCTGACGAGTGGTGGTGGTGGTGGTGGATTACCATTTACCATTTACCATTTACCATTTACCATTTACCATTTACCATTTACCACTTTAGCATGTATCCGTGACTGTGGTGGGATAACTAAGATGTGCGTACGGTGTGTACTGTATATTGCACTATAATATTGAGTAGGATGAGATTTGATGGCTACGGGTTAGGATCATTTATTTTGCACGTGAATGGGGGGGGACCCCTATTACAAACAATACATCTACTGAATTCTCGAAAATTGATACTTTAGTCCCCTTCATTATTGATGAATCAATTTCTGCGATCCGATTTACTATAAGTGGTCTATGATTTAAAGGCCGAAGTGAAGAATTTTGTCGGGTGAAGATTTGGATATCGAGCTGACCAGGCCGAGTTGCATATTAGGTGCCGAGCTGTATTGATTGTTGAGTTTCGTAGTTGTTTAGAGACCTGCAAAGAATCAATGTCAGAGGACCTGGGGTGATTAATCTGGCGAGGTTGCTCTGATGATTAAGTTAGTATTCTCATAGTAGATTGCAAGCTAAAAAATCACAAAATATGAGAGTTAGAATGTGCTTACTTGCCCCCCTTTGTCATTGGGGTTGGTGACTTTATATAGGCATTGTTTGGCGTGGGCTTCACGCACCACATCCGAGATTTCTGAGAGGTCGCCTAAGTGGTCCGAGATTCCCGGAAGTAACCGCCACGCACGTTGGCCATCATCCGGAACACTCAATACGTGGGCCAACTTCCAAGGATCATGGGAGTGTTGGGATATGCATGCTGAATTTGTCGGCGAGCACGTCTCGTAGGTCGCCACCTGGACCTCAGTCAGACCGATACACCCTCGAAGGAGGTCGCTCCTTGTGTTGAGGTCACTTCGGCCAGTGACGAGGTGTTGCAGGTCGGCCCTGGACGAGGTGCTTCTAGCCGACTCGAGTTGTGATCGAGGTCGCCAGTTCGGCGCCTGTACCAGGTTGCTAGGTCGCCAGTTCGGGACACCATCATCTTGGCTAAGTTGTTGCCTAAGTGGTTTTAAGAAGACACGTGTCACAATGTCATTGAAGGGTCAAATGTTATGAACACACCACCCGGCAACGCACGGCGGCACAGCCATAGGCAGCAGCACACACAGCGGGCCGCCTAGTGGCACGCACCGCCCGGCAGCGCCGCATAGCAGGCTGGCAGCACGCGGCACATACCGCCCGACAGGGCGCTGCACGCAC